CTTCCTCTCCTTTACACAGAAGCAATGACGAGGTGTGACCTTATACAGGGCAAGGGGATCTGCCACTCGTGAATGCCTCTTTTTGAAAAAGCCAGAGCATTGCCCTCTAAAAGCGAGCATCTTATTCCAATTCCAGAAGAATCTGGGCAAGGAAGAAGCAGGGGATTCCTACCTACTTCCTAGAGGTCCCAGAATCTTGTTTCTCTTAAAACACTGCCTGTATTTACCAACTTCTCACTCTCTGCTACTTTGGGGAGATGATTACAAAGCTCCCAGGAGATGCCACACAGAGTACAAAGGCACCACCAGGGATGTCTGCAAGGGGTGGGGAAACAAGCCATGGTGGTGGCCGTGATGGTGTGATTGAAGCTCGGTCTGTTTATGTGCAGTGTGACTTTTTTGACCCTACCCCGTGGACACCCCTGGACACCATGGATTGCCCTCTTCGTGGGCTGAAAAGCAGAGAAAATATCGGTAGTCCTTAGCACAGCTTTCAAAGCCAAGGAGGAGGTACAGCTAGGGTGTTGTCTGAACGATCAAGTTTTCAGCCTACTTTGGAACACTTACACTCTCCTTCCCCCAAATTAGGAGGACTCTAATAGCACCTTTTCAGACTGACGGGTTTTATATAAAGGACGAAGCTTTCGTGAGCTGCAGCTTGCTTTACCAGATGCATGGACCGGCATCGTGAATCAGAGGCAGGCCTCCTTCTGGCTACCGTAGACGAACACCCCTCTCCTCCTGAAATGATTTCCCTAGCCTGGTGTTTGGAGATAATGGGAGCTATAGTCCCAGGGGGAAGGCTATCTAATTCTTCTCTTGACTAACTTGAGTCATCCCCGATTCTTTTGCTTTCACAGAAAGTCAGGATTAAAAAAAAAAAAAATTCAAAGAAGTAAGCACACCAGATGGGTAAATATATTGTAGTCTGAGATTCCCGCCCCTCCACCCCCCAGCCCTGCCTCCACCAAGTCCATTCTCAAAGAAATGTTGTGGTTGTATTTCTAAGCAGAATTAATCCCTCCTTTCCGCCGTGCCATCATAAAATTGGTCAACAGTGAAAATGAACAGAAGTGAAGCTCTCACTTGGGTCACTTGAGGAAGAGAGCTGTAGTCTAAAAGCCCTTTTAGCAACTTCTCTTACAGCACAGGAGAGTGGAACGCAATCTGCAACCAAGTTGCACCGAGCAGCATTTTCTGGAGCCAACCTTATTTCACAAAACCCCAGTCTGTTTCCCCTCCATTCCCTTTTGTCTTTCCTTTCCTGTAAGCATTCTGTGTCTACTAAGCCCTTCCTTCCCTCCCGTTCTGGCATCTTCTGCTAAACCTTCCACCCTCGGTTCCCCAGCAGTGGGCTGGTCTTCTGATATTCGCCAAGAAGAACAGAAGCAACTGGTGGCATACAAGAGAAGGGGCAGAGGTGCGAATGTGGCAGGCATTGGATGCCTGCAGCTCAGCCCTGGCTTGAGAGAGCTGCTTGCCTGGTGAATTTTAACCCTTTCTGGTGATGCTTGAAAAGGGCTTCTCTGTCGGGGGCTTAGAGGAGGGCCTTGAAGGACAGTGGGAAATCCATCGCCAAGGCAACGATCAGACAAGTGTGGCTTAAGCGCGTGCCAAGAAACAAAGTTAAGAACACATCTCAGACAGGACCCTCCCTCTTTTACACGAAGATAAAGTGAGGGAGGGGGAAGCACATTCAGGCTTGCAAGATTCTGTTACTATAGCTTTACAATAAAAGTAGTTTTAGACACACATGGCATTGGTTTCTTAGTCTGACCTATCCTAGAGGGTCAGCATCCCTTCTTTCTTTTCTCCCCTGGCAACTCCTTCCCTCACTTCATCCCCTCCAGTTTTGCTTCGTTTTCTCTCCCAGTTGGCCAGGAATTCCCAACTGGGAATTCTGGGAGTTGTAGTATACCCATCCGCAGATAACCAAGTGGGGGAAAAGCTCTTCTATCCCCAAATGTGAGTAGAAACGCCACTGATTTTATCCCTTGGCTTTAAGCTTATTAGTAAAACTGAAGTAAAAGGCCAGTGGGGAATTTTCAGCTTTGGCAATTACATTACATGTCATGGGTAATTTTTTTTTTAATCGGCTCAAGGGAATGACAGGAAGCACAACAACTCCAGCGTTGCCAGTCATCTTGGAACGTCAATGCTGATCGATAGCTGCCATTGGCACAGGGTAGAGGACAGCCTCCAACACATGGTCCTCACAGATATACCCACGAGGGCTCAAAGAGTGACTCGAGAAGTCCAGAGACTTCTGCCTTTCCAAGCAGGAGCTGCGTTGCTACTCTCTTTTCTCCCGGTGCCAAGAAGCAAAGCTTTTTCGGTGCAAAATGTTCCCCACGTGTAGAACCCTTGTACTGTAGAGGCTTAAACTATTGTTTTATTGTCTATCTATAAACCGTTAAGAGGTGCTTGATTGCGATAGGGCATTATCATATATAATATAATATAATATAATATAATATAATATAATATAATATAATATAATAATATATCAAGGAGAAGTTTCT